CAGTATTGTCCTGTTTTATTCCATCATGCTGATTCACTGAAATGGAATGATTAATGATAGGCCAACAGTACATCAATTCATCCTTCGCTATCTATTCAATGTAAATATCAATAAATGCTATTCATAGATAGCGATTTCTCAAGTCAAGGGCATGTATAAGAGCTTGGGGCTACTAGCTGGGGGAGGGGCGGTGTGCACAAGCAGCCCTACTTTGCACACAGCACTCCTCTGCGTCATTGCATGAAAAGTTTATTGACCCCCAGAGCACGTGGTGGGGGATTTGGTAATGGAGTCTTCTTGGAACATGGCACAATGCTATGTGAATCGCTCCCGTAGGTCCGTCCAAACCAAGAAAAGAAAGAAAAAAACGAGTGCACTTGCGCAATTGTGTATGGTATACTGGCAGTTAGACTTCATCAGGGTATAAAAGCCAACTCTACTTTTGATCAGGATATTGCACAAATCAAAGTAGCCTTGAAGGAATAGCCTCCACTGTGCTGCTGTATCCGGATGGAAGAAGTATGTGATGCAAAAAAAAAAGGAACGCAATAGGAATTTGTGACTGGGGGGGGGGGCAAATTTTGCAGTATTTTCTTTAAAAATAGCTTGGATCTTACAACAAAGCTATCATGCTATCTACTATTGTACTAGTAAGCTGCTAACTGTATTTCAGGCCCTAAAAAATGTGGAATGTCTTTCACCTGAAAAGGTTTCTGCACAACCACAAATTGGCATGAATTGCAAATATTTTAATGTTATAATTCAGGTAGGTTATTTGCTGTTGAAATTTTAGGTAAATGCGACACACTTCATGAAAGTGTCTTGCATTTGCATCTAGTTTTACATTATTACTACCATCATTATCATTTTTTTAAAGCCACGATCTCTGAATATCCATGGCCACTGTTCTATCCCTTGATTAACAGACCGGATCTAGCAAGGTCCAGAATTGGATGACTTTAATTGACCACACTTGACCCAGTTCTCAACGACTCCCACCAACAAGACCTAAGACCTTTCTTCGGCAGAACTACATGTACTGCATGTAGCTCCTGAAGGTGCTGTGTTTATTCCATCATATGTCATAGGTTACCTGAATGGATATAGTCTAATGTTTCAGCCCAGATAGTGTCTTGATTTCCTAAGCCAAGGTGAAGGCCATGCTCTACTTGGATAGGATGCAATGGAGACTGTGCAACATAACATGACAAATAGGAAACATATGCAGGTGGCCGGCCGGCCACACAGGGTTCTTGGTAAATTGGTGCGATGGGATGGAGGGGAGCAAATAAAACATCTTTGGCACAATTTCCAACTCACAGAGTTGACAATAACGCCTTCACTATGAAACTATTAAACATCCCCCCCATTTCTGTTAGATCGAAATAAACACCTTGCATATAAAGCCCACTGGAGCATCAACACGCATCAAGTTGTATGTTCCCAGTTTTCCACGATTGTATGATATGATTTATTGCTTGCTGTCAAGGGGGAAAAAACATGGGTATGGAATTGACCTTAAAATTTGCACTTTCTCTTTTGAAGGCTAAAAATAAAGGGCTGTTGTGAAGTCTCTCACAATGGGTTTGGTGATCATGCATTCTTCTATTTGGCTACATAGCAAGTAGTTTTTGGATCATCATCATAATTGCTAACATTTATGTTTGGAAAAACTTTTGATTTATTATATCAATTGAAAATCTTGTTCAGCTATGCAATCTAGAGAGAGGCATATACATGTACAAACACTCACATTCGGACATGTACATTGTAACAAGGAAGCCATAAATTTAAGACATTGTATAGATGTACATGAGGAGAACGGCACACACACAGAGGCACATTATGCTTACATGTAAAATGCACTAAGGAATATTCTTTAGCCTACCTACATGTAGATTGTGGGGGAATCCCCTTGCACAAGAGCTCATGATATGAACTGCATCCATGCCTCATGCCTGTATGCAACAGCCAGCTAGGACGGATGCCTCATATCTCATTTGGCTACGGGGACCCCCCTGGTATCTAAAGGCTGACAAAGTGCGTGGAGATAACCCATTCATTTAAAAGCTCATGATGTGGCGAGCATCCATGTCCAACAAATGTCTACTGTAGCCAAGAGGTTGAGACGGATGCCTCATATCTCATTTGGCTACGGATGCCCCCTGGTATCTAGAGGCTGACAAAGTGTGTGGAGATAACCCATTCATTTAGGAGCTTCATGGTGTGGCTTCCATCCATATCCAATAAATGTCTACTGTAGCCAAGAGGGAGAGACGGATGCCTCATATCTCATTTGGTTTGGGGATACCCTTCGTATCTACATGTCTACTAAGTGTGTTGAGATGATCCATTCATACAGGAGCTCAGTATCAGGCTTGCATCGATAGGCTATTGATGTCAAGATACCTACATGTATGTACATGTAGAAAATCTTGAATCTTGAATCTTGAATCTTGTAGGGCTGACTTGTCTATGGGTTGATTTGCCTAAGGGTTGCATTACAAGAGCACATGATATAGCATGCATCCATGAGTAGTGTCTGTCCGTCTCCAATCAAGAAGGAAGAATGGATACTCACGAGTATAAGCTCACAATAAGGGATGGCCATTAGCATCTTTCTTCTGTGTAATAACAATGTGACACACAAGCTGGTGATATAACCTGCATCCATCTGAAGTAGTGCACATCTGTCTCTAGTCTTGAGAATGTATGTCCAGATTCAAAGTATTTGATGGAACAAGGCCTTTGATGTCTTTCATCTGCCTGGTAAAAGGACCTGTGACACACATACTCATGATTTGAACACCACCAATCAGGAGTGTGTGTCTGTCTAGAGGGGAAAACTATCTCCAGAGTCTGAGCTGCCACAAGGAAATCCTTTAAGCTCATGATACGACCTGCATCTATTAGAAGTACCTGTCTCTCTCAAATCTAGACCAAAGAATGGATCTCCAGACTCTGTAATAGAGTCTAAAGTTGCTGGGGGAATCCCCCTTAGCCCATCTCTGGAAGTCTGGTGGTACATGATCACATTCATGACCCGCGTTCATGATGAACAATGTTTGTCTGGAGCCAGTCTACACTACAGCATGAGATGGATGCCCAAAGTCTACATCTATGCTGGCCATGGGGGAAGCCCCTTGGCATCGGGTGGTGGCAGAGCATCCGATATGGGCTGCATCCATCTTAAATTGGCCGAGTCAGACAAGTTTTGGCAGAAGAACTGTCCAAAAACCTGAACCACAATTGGAGGTTTGGCATGTTCCACCCTCCCCTCTGAATATAATCACCCAGCGGACTAATCAACGCAGCATGTCGGAGGCAAACATAAACATTCCCTATAAGTTTAGATGCTCGTCTGTCTCTATATCCGGTCTCTATTTTTAGAAACCGCAGCTATGTTTGGACAGGTTGGTTTGGGGTTTTCTTGGGTTAGAGGATCCAGGAGGACCGCCTGCCAACCCAGTCAGTTTGGAAGTAGCACTTGAAACGAACCCAAACATTCACTCTGACAGTCGAGTAAGCATGTGTACATTTCTATGGAGGTCGAAGCATGCATAAATCATCCACAGAGCATCACAGACAGATCATCACATCACTACAGCAAGCAAACGACTATAGAATTACACCAACAAGAACTGAAGATATGAAACTCATCACTGACAAACTACTACCCGCTTTGAAAGTAATTCAATTACACAGAATTTATTTAAAAGTGGACTCTTGAAGAAGTGCATTCATTCATCTAGAGTACAAACCTCGAGTTTCAGGAAGTACACCTTGATCCAATTAAGCCTTAATAGAACTGACAAATATCAAATAAGTATTAAGAACTTTGGAAAAGCTGTGTACCAGTTTAGGCAGAGCTTAACAATGTTCCATTTTTTCTTCCTGGGATCTGAAGTGCAATTTGGGGGGACTCTTTGCACTGAGCCATTTATGCTTTAAACAACTTTACCTTGCAGCATAAAATGTTGGGATATTTCAGGCTAGATATTTAGAAGCGTTTTCGATATTTGAGAAAATACAGTTTTGACTAAGTTTTCACTAACCCATATCCCTCAAGATGAGAAGAAAATACAAGATTTAATCAATAAATATAAAGATAACTACCATACTGCATCCCTATTTGAATGTCTCCTATTGGAAACGGATGCAAGTTTTCCAAAACTGATCTGTGCAATCACTTTATTCACGGATCCCAGGTTTTTGTAGAGAGAGAGAGAGAGAGAAAAAAAAAGTGTGCTTTTCCAATGAAGAAGAATGGAATCAAAAAAGATATCCAGAAAGAAGTGTTGTAATGTCATTTGTACCTAAGTCACAGGAGTGACACCAGACCACCAGCAGACCAAATAAAATAATACTCTACCCCCAAATGGCTCCAAACCAGTTGATTTAGATTTGGAGGTAGTTGGAATCAAGTTGGAGGTATGACTGAGGTATAATATACAAATAATGCACAGGTTTGAGTGCGTCGGTAGGGATTGTGTGCACAAGGTACCTTTGAATGATTTTAGACCACACAATTCCATCGACCCACAAATCAAACCTGTGCATCATCTGTTTTATAAGATGGGGCCCCAAAAATTGTCAAAAACACAAAATTTTGTTATTTTACAGATTTACTGGATGCATGATTTTTTTTACCGGACGCATGATTTTTAACTTATCATGAAATTTAAAAAAAAAAATAAAAAAAAAACTGTCATGCACATAAAACTGTAAAAAAAAAAAAAAAATCATTAAAAAAAAAAAATTATATTTAAAAAAATGAGAATTATTTTTAAAAAAAGATATCCGTGGTATCGATCGCCAATATCGCGTGCATCCAGTAAAAATAATTACATAGTAATTGACCAATCAGATTGCAGGGATTCTTCTACCCATCTTATAATAGATTTTTATCATACACTTCCAAATCTTTTGAAAGAGAACTGTAAGAAAACTATAATTTTCAGCAATTTTAAGAGAAGAAAGCTTATGGAACACAGACTCACTTTGCAAATCAGGATCGCTTCCACTGCCTACCGATAACGTGTCTGACTCACTCAGTGATCGTTCTGAAATGGAAAAATATGATAAAGGAAAAAGTAGGAAAAAAATTAATACACAATAGTTATTATTAATATGTGAATATAAAAAAGTGTCAAACCTGGCCATTTTTAGGAAAATATCATTGATTTCATTAAATACTCTCTTACTATTGTATAAAATCTTAATATTCACATTAATGTGATAAAAATAAGAAAGTTAGCCCTCATGAAATCTGTATGACAAAATCACTTTTTGAACAATTATATGTCATGGTAAAAAGACAAATAACAAGATAAAGTAGCAAGTGAAAAGTGATGGAAACTGTAAACCTGGGGGTTAGGTGACCTTTAAAAACAATTAATGCTCCCCTTCTATTTCCATACCAATAAACACAACTGAAAATGTGAGTAAATTAAAATAGGCATTAATTGTGTTTTTTCCCAAGGGGAGGGGGGGGGGGGGGGCCAGGATTTCTTTCCTTCTCTTCCTGATATTTATTTTTGTTCGTTAGATAATTTTGAACTTTTGCGCCTTCCCTTTGTAGAACCCTGCATGTGTACAGCTGTTTATTTGGATCAACAGACCAAATTTAAAACTCTGGTTCTTTGACCAAAATTTATGATTTTACAATATGAAAAACAACATATGGATTGTCTACATATTGCAAATTCATTGTGGTTTTCATCAGCTGTTTTTGCATGCAAGATGAATGGAAAATTTGATGTCCCCAATGCTTTGTTCCATCGGGTCCTTGTATCTTTGGGTTACGCAAACTTTCAGGAATAATCAAGCCCTAATTCCTGAAGGATCGGTGCAACGTTTATGAAATACACCCCTCTAATTGCCAAAGTATCTGGTCCAGTTTATTGGACTCTTTCTGAAAAACCTACAGCAAACATGCAAAAACTTGAGTTTCAACCCAGCCCTGTTTGATATGAGATAAATAATCACAAGAGTTTCTAAAAAGGATAACTTTGTTATTGTCTGAGTGTATGGGAATGTTTTCATGAATCTACATGTACAAAATTTGCCCTATCTCAAGGACCATCTTTGAAGAAGAAAAAAATTATTAAAGGTAAAGACCAGTTATGGTCATGCGATTGCATTGTGAAAGAAACGTTGTGGAGTCGATCATAAAAGGTTGATCATCTAGCATCTAGCATCTGCAAGGTTCTGGAATCATCAAAATGATAAGAAATTTGGCCCATTCTTTGTAAAGTTACAAGCACTATACACAGAAAGATGTATATGGGACTACCCTATATCTCTCACAGACCATGAGAGAAACAAATTCACCAAATATATGAATTAGTAGGCGGTTTCCCAGCAAATTTGTTATCATCATGTATTAGTCAAAACATATTCTTTCACATGATTGGTAATGAGAGCTTCCATTTCATTTTTCGAAATTGGGGCGTTTCCAATATGGTCTTTACTTTTAAAGGGGCATGTTTTCACGAAATATTGTGTAGCCCGACCTTTCATGAATACACGAGTACTTTCACAAAATATTCTGTAACCCCAAAACTCTTAGTCAAAAGTTTTTACTGAATATCAAAGTTTGCTAAGTACTTTAGCTAAGCCAAAAAACTGAGTAAAATACTCAAATTTTAAAGAGAAGTATAGAATTGAATACCTGCCCAAGTCTAAGCATATGTCTGTTGCATTGCCACACTTAGTGTACCTATTTGTTGTATATTTTTTTATTTTTTAAATCTTTTTTGAAATTACCACTAATGATTAAAATTTCTCAGTGTATGCAGTTTTCAACAGTTTTTGTAATTTTTTAAATATTTGGTTTGCCTAGAATATGTACCATATCTGATCATGATAACAATTCACAATGGTTTCTGAAAACTTCTTTTCAAAATGAACTTAACTGTTTGTACTTAAGAATGGCTTTAAAGATTCTTTGAAAGAAACACAAACATTTCAATAACATTGAGTTGACTGCAAATACAATGCGACAGAAAGTTGCCAAACCTTAAACAATCATCGCTGTCTTGCTCAATAAACTTGACAGAGTCTTCATGCGACTTTGGCTCGGGATCGGAGGCCTGCTCTCTTCAGAAGGGCTTCAATCAAAACAAACCCTTGTCTAAAGCTTTAACCCCTTAACTACCAAAAACCAAGCACCCTTGACTTTATGTATGGTACATGTTGCTACGGTACCAAAAAGTTAAATTAGTTTGCTAAGAGGGTACATTGTTATTTGGGGTGGAGAGTGAGAGACAATGTTCATTGTTTGGGGGTTTGTTTGTTGCTATGAAAGTGATTGTCATGACAAACAGCTGATATGAACAGCTCATCTAATTATTTTTTCATTCGGGAAGGCGGGGTGGGGGGGGGGGGGGAGGATGATGGGTGCAATGAAACTGCAAAATTTATGTAGTCCAATACTTATTTATTGCTGTAATGTTAAAATGAGAAACATGTCAAGATTTGCTTCGTGAAAGTTTCATGCCATAAAATAAATGAAATCTCAATTGGCGAACAAGTTGCTAAAGTTTCTTATTTACAGTACTTTTACTTTACAAGGTACTCAAATAGATGAAATACAATTTGTTGCAGCGACAAACATTAAGTTTCAAATCCACATGTGTCCACTATTAAATCTAGAGTCTATTTTTTTAGTTCGGCCATCACAACAAGTCTTTGTGAGTTGTGACACATTAATATTTTTTTCAGCAGGAAAAAATATAATACACCACCCTAATCTACATGAATCATTTGCACTTTATAATTTAATGCAGCTTTCTTTGTACTCCTTAGCTATTTATTTTCACTGGCCGGCCATCTGACTGACCATTAGGATGACCATACAAACTGACTTGGCACGATAAACGCTAGCAATGGTCAGCTTATTGCGTGACCAGATCTAATTCACTGAACCCCCTCGTAAATCTACCGGGAATCACCCTCGTTATTTATAAAGACTTTAAGTCGATGATCGGTGCTAATAGAGAGGCGCTAGGCATGTATACAACTAAGTTTGACTTGGGAGCTAATTCACAACAGCTGCACATCACTTATAATCATAATAATATCATCATCTTCTAAAACAAGAATTAAAGGCCTCATCGAGAAGTAGGGTGAAAGGAAATTTCCTCAGTAAAATAATCTTGGCCTTTTTCTGGTTTTGATAGCTAATAAATTATTTTTACCCAAATACATGTACCTAAATTTACTTCAAAGCTCATTTATTTATAGTAACAATCGGAGTTTTCCATGACAAATTATTACCTCTTTATACTGTAAATGATTACATTGAATATCATTTAAATAGGTAAATTGAGAAGACACAAGTCACACAACCAATTCCCAGGCTCTGATCTTGTGCTGCTCAGAAGTTCAGAACAAAACACTTATATTTGAGACCCCTTCATATGAAATCTAGTTTGCTTTTTATTAAAATAGCCTTCTGGTACTTTAATTGGTGAAAAGTTTGCTTAGTGCATCTGCTATTTAAATCCAAGGAACTCCTTTGGAATTATACCTGTAAAATAGTAAAATGCAGTAAAGAAATGTTTTCTGGGTGACCTGACATTTGCTCCTGCAACAACTGCTCCAGGCTTTATTTTGTCAAAGGTATAGGGTTAGGGTCAGGCAGGCAACTGGGTTTTAGGGAAGGTGTAGGGTTCAAACTAGTTTAAGCTTTGGGTCCAGGGTTGAAATTTAAAATCCTTTTTTTTTTAGGAATTTTACCCAGAGAATTGTTGCAGGAGTGTCATACAAATGATTTCTGAAACGAATAAAAATGAACCTTAGTTCTAAAATGATACAAAATATTTGGAGATAAATTTTGTAAAGTAAGGAGAAAAAAAGAACAGATGGAAAGATTGAGAAGTGAAGATTGACAAAACGAGAGAAAGATGGATAGATCACATCATGTCAATGGAAGTTTGGCTCATTACCCAGGATGCCCTTGCTTTACTAATTAGACTCCAATGCCAGTCACTTTCTCCCTACCCAGCGTTCCTCTAAGTTCTGGTCATTAAGGAGGCCCGAGAGCTACATACATGTAGGATTGTCCTGTGGGGAAGACAATGGGGCAATGACCTCTTTTACAAGGGCGGGGTCCGGGCGGGGTCCAAACAGGTGAGTTCCAAGCCAGGACGGATGGGGGCAAAAGGGTTACGGTTTAATCGATTCCGACTAACCGATTGTATTACCTGACTGCTACAAAAGTAAGTAAGTACATACTTAGTTGCTAACTTAAAATAGGTAACTAGGGGACCTGCATGTACAATGTATGCTTCAAGTCTTATCCGAAGGGACTTGGTCAATTTAAAGGTGCACAGGAACCCCTCATACTTTACTATAGATCCCCTGGAAAATTATATAAGAGCCCTGCTTGAAGAAAGGTTAATTCTCTTATCCGGCTATCGTGACATTTCTAAAGGGATTGAGTTTTAGCACATCAAATGGCAACTGACATACCGTAAATCTCCGTGTATAAGGCGCACTTTTTTGCCGCCGAAAAATTTGAAAGTCGGGGGTGCGTCTTATACACAGGTACAGATTTTTTTTTTTTTAGTTTCGATTTATGGTGCTATGCCTGGCAATGTCGCATATGTTTTCTATGTTTTCTATAACAAATGGTGTACCACAAGGTTCTATCCTAGGTACTCCATTATTAGAAAGATAGAGGATGCTATTCATATCATGCATGACTATTGATGTTTGGCATAGAACACAGAGCTTCTGCTAGGTGATGTGAAGAGGCTGGTGTGGGACACTTGGCCTTAGACTGTTGTTACTATTATTTGTGACAAGTTCACAACTTCTACTGCACCTCGATGTAAAATGAAGGTCCTTCCCCGCGTGGGTTTTCGGCAACAAAACAACAACAACAACAAAACAAAAAACTTTTTTTTTTTTTGCCCCCCAAATAGGGGTGCGCCTTATACACAGGTGCGCCTTATACACGGAGATTTACGGTACTACACGATGGGGCAGTTGTATCAAGATGAAAGGGGTTCTTACAAGAGAAAGAAAAAAATTAAATGAATCTAATAACAATCTG